GAGCGCGACAAGAGAGGTGACCCGTTCTTCCTCGATAGGAAGGACGTCTGGCCGAGGGGAGGGTTCAACCCGAGGTTCGAAGTGTACGAGCCACTCGGGGTCCGCGGTGCGTACTGCGTACAGTGCGTACTACGTACTTCTTAATTTCTTAATTTCTTATGCTTTTTAGTTGGCTTAGTTCATAGACTTCGTAGGTAGGTTACCTATCGTACGTTCGTACTTTCGTAGTGTTCGTACTTTGTAGTGTAAAATACTAAAGTGCACGTTACGTTCCTAACTTCTAATCTAACTAATGACGCAGAGTTTCAAGCGTGAGATTTGTATTTGTACGTTTCTCAGTACGTTAAACTACTGCCGCCAGTGCAATAATAGGAAAACAAACCTATTGTTTAATCACATCGCTCATCAGTCACGTGATCAAATCTGTAAGTATGAAAATAAGTAATTGTATATTTCTTTCATCTAGTGCGTTAAGCGTTTTCTAGCAAGCGACACAAGTCGTCACATTCGTCACAAACGTCGTTCTATCTTTCTTAGCAATTTTAGCATTCAATGATTAACAAAGATAGAACGATACTTATAATGTCGACTTGTGTCGCTTGCTGGAAAACGCAGTAAACACACCCAGATTTCATTATTTCTTACTAATCTGTCCTATAGTTGAATGTGTAATTTTCTTATTTGTAATGTTTACAGAATTAACCTTATAAAAACCCTAAGGTCGAAGGTGAAGGTGCACGTCTACGTCCCTATTTCCTAATCTCTAACGACGCACTCACTTTCTATAAAAGTAGGCGTGCAAGTTTTCCTTCATTTCATTCTTCTTCCTTATTTTGTTTATTTTTTATTAATTGTTAAATAATAATAATTATATCTTTTTGTTCATGTAGTGCCACCAAAAAGTAACATTTGGGACTTTTTTATAAAAAGTGGTCGATTTTCTAAATGTAAAATCTGCCAGGAAGATGTAAAAACATCTGGAAATACAACTAATTTACATTTTCACATGAAACGTTATCATCCCGAAGTTGAAATGAGAAAATCTGCAGTATCTCTCAAGAGAAAGACACAAATAGTAATGTATATTTATATTATTATATAACATAATATTTATATTATATTATCCTTTAGTTTTGTTCTTTAATTGATGTATGTTTTACGTAAATTTTAGTCCGAAATAGACAACGAAGATGTTATCGATATTGATGACCCAGACTCATTTCCGACACCGTCTAGTCCGTCTACATCATCAGAAACGCGATCAGTATCGGTTTCACCAAGTCTAATTGTTTCTAAACCTTCTAAACAAAAACAACCTCGAATTGAAGAAGTATTTCAAAGACAAAAATCATATCAAGGTATGGAAGTTGTGATTATTCAACCGAGTTTCAAATAACATTTCGAATCCCATCATATAATTTGTTTACATTTTATTGGAAGTATTTATCGTTTTGCTTCCTCATAGAGGAAGCTTTGTTTTCGTGACTTTCGTACATGAAGTATGAACCTTTGATTGCGTATAAAGTTGGGTCTAATCAACCAAATTTAAATGAATTATATATGAAATCGTCCTCATAGAGGAAGCAATGTGCAGGTTTCTACTTGCACACTTAAAAACTATAAGGAAGCAATGTAAAGGTTTCTACTTGCACAATTTTGTATCTATTTCCTATTTAAATACTGTTCTAGTCAATTCAAATAGAATATTTAATTGATAATTTTAAAATATTTTACAACTTTTAAATATATTAGTTTTTATTTATATATTTTTTTCGGGTAGTATTTATATATATCAATAGGTATATTTAAAGAATTGTGTTATAATATTTTTAATTTCTCAAATGGAGGATCCAAAGCTGCCGAAGTGACAAACAAACTGCTATTCATGATTGCTAAGGACAACTTACCATTTCGTACAGTTGAAAAGGAAGGTTTCAAAATCTATACGAATGCGTTATTGCCTTTATACAAGATTCCTAGTAAGAAGACCATAACTTATCTTATGGAACAGAAATACGATCTCTTATCAAGTATGATGAAAACACAACTTTCACAAGTACAGTATTTATCCCTAACTACTGATATTTGGACTGAATCGTTAAATATGAAAAGTTTTTTGGGCTTAACGGCACACTTCTTAGCTTCTTAGTAGATGAGCATCATAAATCTGTCACAATTGGCGTTGTTGAGATGACTGAAAGACATCAGTCAGAGTATTTGAAAAATTGGCTATTAAGTTTAATAGATAAATGGAATATACATATAGAAAGTATCGTAGTCGTTGTGTCAGATAATGCTGCCAACATAAAGAAGGCCATTGTTGATGCCTTCGGCGTAGATAAACATTTTGCATGCTTTGCGCATACCTTAAACTTAGTTTTGGCGAAAATTATCGATGGTGATGAAATCGTAAAAAATTTCTGCGCAAAAATAAAAAAAATTGTCACATTTTTTAAAAAATCAGTTATCGCTGCAGACAAATTACGGCTTCATTCGGATTTAAAGTTAATTCAGAGTGTTGAAACACGGTGGAACTCCACGTATAGTATGCTAGAGAGATTTATACAATTGTCTGAAAAAATTAGCTGCATTCTTTTGCAATGTCCTACGGCTCCTCCGATGCTAACTGCTTCGGAGTTACAATCGACTAAAGAATTTGTTAAATTGCTAGAACCATTTGAACATGCAACAAAAATCATATGCGGCGAATACTATCTTACTGCGAGTAAAGTAATTCCAATCGTCAATACTTTAAAGAATAAATTACAGACGCTTCAACCTTCTACTGATATAGGTCGTCATTTTACAAAGGTGTTAAAAGATGAGTTTATGAAACGATTTGAGGATTATGAACAAAAGTCACTAATAGCTATGGCTACAATTTTAGATCCTCGATTTAAAAATATAAGTTTTATCGATGAAGTTGCTTGCTCACAAGCTATTAACCAAATTACAAGGTTTATAAATTCTGAAGTTACAGATACTAACCGCGAATTTCAAAATCAACGAGAAAATTTAGATTCAGATAATAACGATATTAACGATAAAACAAACTTTTGGTCCTATCATGAAAATCGTGTAAATTTAAATATATCTAAACAGGTAGTCAATCAAGATCTTGACCAAATGCCAGACGACTTTCGTTATTATCTGAATCAACCACCGTTAAAAATGAATGATAATGCCATTAAATATTGGAACATGGCCCGAGATTCTCCTCTAAAAGCCTTAGCAATTAAGCATTTATCATTAATTGCCACTTTAGTTCCTTCTGAAAGATTATTTTCTGAAGCGGGTAAAATAATGACCGAAGAGAGAAACAGGTTGACAGGTGATCACCTTAACCAATTGTTATTTTTACATTCCCTTAAAATTGATGATTAGCATTTATAATTTTATAAATTATAAATTACACAATACGTCACAAACGCTCCTTCTAATCCTGCCATCCTTTGCGACTGGCGATGGGGCGTTTGCGACGCATTCGGCATTATACAATTACACATGTCTATAAATGCCAATCGCAAGATCGAAGAAATGTAAAAATAATAATTAATACTTATTGTACACATAACACATACTACACATGGTAAATACATATATGTAGAATCATAAAAAATTATATTTTATAGGTTTTTTTCATTTGGTTTTGGTACGTTACGTAAATACGTATTATAGAGTTAGAGTTATAGAAATCATAATTACCTATAAAAAAATTATAAGTCATAATAATTATAAGTTATAATTATAAGTCATAATGTACAAAAAATTATTTATTTTATAAATAAAAAAATTGTACTTAAGGTTCTTCTTGTGTACTCGCTGCAACTATTTAATTTTACGACTTCAGAAGCAAGAAATTGCATGCTAAAAATTTTTGCAAAACGGTTGGACAGTCTGGACACAACGGCTTGGATTCTACAATCCAATATCTTTTTGTAAGTATCGATATTGACGATATCAATACGAGACATCTGATACTTTTTGTGTATCAATATTTTCATCCACGATACGTATCGATACGATGTATCAATATGTTCAGGTCGATACGCCCATCTCTAGTCCGCGCACCACATCGAATTGGCCACCAGATCGCGGGGGTAAAGTCCGCGGGAGCAATGATCCGCCGGATTGGTTTCCGTATCGACGTGACCCCAGAATGAGACCGGTACTTTCTCTTGAATGAGAGCAACGCGGTTGCGAACAAACGTCTTCTACTTATGTGGAGACGAGCGAATCCAGGCAAGGGCCACCTCGGAATCCGACCACGCATACTCAACGTCGATTCCGAAGTGTCTCTGCAGGACTTGACGAACGTAAGCGATGAGCCGCGAAAGTAGCAAAGCGGCACAAAGCTCCAAACAAGGGATCGTGACAGACCGAAGAGGGGCCACCTTCGATTTGGCGCAGAGTAAACGGATAACAGCACCCTCCCGGGTGACAAAACGCAAATAAATCACGGCTCCGTAACCCAACTCACTGGCATCGCAGAAGCCATAAAGCTCGCAACGAACGGCATCGCGGGTTTCAAACGTACGAGGAATGCGAAGCGAAGCCAACGCGTCGATTTCCGCCTGGAAGCTATCCCAGTAGCGACGAATATCTGCGGGAGGCTCGTCATCCCATTTCAGTTTAAGCGTCCATAGACGCTGGATGAAACACTTTGCGGTAAACGTGAGGGGAGCCAGTAATCCTAAAGGATCAAAAATGCGCGCCACGTCCGACAGGATAGTACGTTTAGTGCATCTGCGGTCTAACGGATTAACCTGGAATCCGAAACTATTGGATTGTGAGTACCACCGAAGGCCCAGGACTTTGAGTGATTGATCTTCGCTCGATTCAAACGATAATTCGGATGGGTTGCATATAACTGTGGGTCGAGCCCTTCCAACGCGGCAGGATGGCTGCTCGCCCATTTTCTTAGTTCGAAGCCGGCGCTTCGGAGGAGCGATAACAGCTGATCTCGAAGAGCGTGAGCCTGATCCACCGTACGAACACTAACCACGACGTCATCCACGTAAAGCGTCTCAAATAATGCAGCGAACGCGGTAGGATATTCGGCCCGATGTAGTGTCGCGAGCTGGAGCAAGCAATAGATTGCCAGGAACGGGGAACAAGTTACGCCGAACGTCACTGTCTTGAGATGATAATCCAGGATAGAATCCGATTCTGAAAACCGCCAGACAATGCGTTGGTAGTCGCATTGCCCCGAGTTTATCCATACCTGGCGAAACATCTGTTTAACGTCCGCAGTGAGGGCAACCGGTTCGGCCCGAAATCTAAGCAAGATCGCGAGTAGGTCTTGTTGTAGTTTCGGGCCGCTAAGCAGCGTGTCGTTCAACGACAGCCCGTTCGCGCATCGCGACGAGGCGTTGAACACTACCCGCAATTTGGTGGTAGTGCCATCGAGCTTGTACACGCCGTGGTGAGGCAAATAGTAAATAGAACCATCCGAAGGGAATGGATCACGAGTTACTTCCATATGACTACTATCGAGGTAGTCTTGCATGATTTTATTGTAGCCGATTCTAAACTCTGGGTTTGATTTGAAACGGCGTTCAAGAGCGCGGAGACGACTGACGGCTATAGAACGCGAGCCGACGAATGTAGGAGAATCCGACGCGAAGGGATAGGAGACCACGAAACGACCCAAGTGGTCACGATAGGTGGTCTGGGCGAAGATCTCCTTGCAACGTCGATCCTCTTCGGAACAAGGAGCGTTTTTCGACACCTCCTCCAATCGCCAAAGGTTGCTCACGGCTTTCTCGATCGACTCGAGGGTGGTAGCGACCGAGCGCAGGGGTGCCGATTGCACCGTTGAGGATACCGCACCTGTTAGGACCCAACCGAAAACTGTATTGAAGGCGTCCGGTTCTCCCTTCCCTCCCTTACGGCGTCCGTCGCGCAACACCGATACGAACGATTCGGCTCCCAACAGAATGTCGATATTACCGGGCACGCAATAATCGTGATCCGCGAGCGGCAATCCCTTCAAATGGTTCCACGACCGGACGTCGACTTTATCATTAGGCAACGGCGAAGTTATACGCGAGAGGACCGTAGCCTCAATGGAGAAACAAGTATCGTCCCGACCGCACGCGCGGATTATGAAGGAGGTGAGGCCCCTCGTTGTAGCCGCCTTAGTCTCGTTTACAGCGAATACGGTCGCACTGTGTTTGGTGCGACGGAAGCCGCCTCTCTGAAGGCAGCCTTCGGTAATAAAATTGGCCTGGCTCGCGCTATCCAACAATATGCGAACAAGCAACGCGTTGCCGTAGACGTCTATCACTTCCGCGCGGACGGTGGAAAGCAGGACGACCCGATTGGCTAGACTGGCCATAGCAACGATTGATTTGTCCTCCGATTGAGGAGCGTTCGCGGAGTCCGGAATGACCGGAGGCGCGGTCACGGAGGCGGTTGTAGAATCAGAATTAACGCTCCGATCAAAATGTAAGAGAGTATGATGCTTCACGCCGCAGGTTTTACACGTCCACGTTGAGGGACAATTGTTCATACCATGCCCCGGTCGCAGGCAGTTGAGGCACAACTTCGAATCCCGAGCCGTCGACTGTCTCTCCCTCGGCGAGAGTTTCAGGAATCGCGGGCACTTCGCGATATAGTGCTGTTCCTTGCACACTGGGCGAGCGGCCGTGTGCGTTACGAATGACGAGACCGGCGCAGACTTAGATTTGTTCGGCGGGGTGGAAAGACCCGCGACGACCTCGAGAACCTTACAGTGCTCCGAAAGAAAGTTGATTGTATCGCGGTATCTCCTCAGTCCTATGCGCGGATTCGAATTTTTCCCGAAAGGAGCGAAGAAGCTTGTCTAATAAGAATTTCAATAGGAGGAAATCCCACGAATCCGTCGGGAATTTCATCAAGGAGAGCGCGCGCGTATTCTCGGAGAACGCATCCAACAGGGTGCGGAGGGCCTCGACCGATTCTGACTTCAATGACTATGAGTCTAGCATCGAATTTAAGTGATAGCCCGCGAGCTTTCGCTTATTCCTATAACGAGAGAGGAGGGAGTCGTAAGCGATCATATAATGATCTGAGGAGAACGGCAGGTTTTTGATCACGTTAAGGGCCTCCCCCTTTAGCGAGGCCAGCAGATACTGATACTTTTCGATCGCCGAGAGCTGACGATGCTCGTGAATCGATGTATTGTACAAGGCGATAAAGGACAGCTACAACGATAGGTCGCCCGAGAATTCCGGCAGCGCGATCTTAGGCAATTTGACGGCCGAACCATGACCCGCGGTCTGCATCTGAGCGTTTCCGTGCGGAGTGCCGGTGATAATATGGTATCGGCTTTTTACGGCATAGTGCATCTTGTCGAACTCGGCTCTAATCACGTCCTCGGCCTCGAACTCCGCGGTTTCCTGAATGACTTTCAGGTGAGCGCTCTCGAAATCCTCCGCGATTTTTGCCACGCTCGAATAGCGGGCGAGAAAATTTGCGCGGCTCGCCGGGTCGGTTGCGGCTTGCAAAGAGAGATCGTGGATCTCTCGTATCCGCTTAACGCACAATTCGCGACGAGTTTCGGCGTTCTTAGGCATGGTGCGAATAACGGAAGAAAATAGGTATAGAAAATGATTTCCCGCGAAGAGTTAGATGGGAGAGAGTGATTCAGCAAATAATTGTTATGGCAGAGTGTACGAAGTCGGAACGGTCAAACGGCGAAATATAAATATAATCCCGAGTCAACGGCAGCCCGAAACGATCCACAATAACAACGAGATACAAAGACTCTGAGTCCGACCAACAGAAAAACTGAGGCAAAACAATGACGTTCGCTCCAAGGTCTCGAGTAACGGATGGCTCCGTTCGAAATATTGGAGTTATGGTTCAGTGGAATATTCGGGAAAGAATATTCCTTAATTCTAACGTAATAAATCGTATCGTGCACTCGAGCGACAATGACGATTTGATTGCACAATTAATTCGACGGCAAGAGCGATCAGCGATAATGGCGCGCAAGGCTCCGTACGTGTATTCTCGTCGCGAGCGATTGCGAGCGAGAGATATCGAAGCGGGCGAGCTAGACCGATTAATACGTAGATGCACGGGCGCGAGCAAATTAATTTAACAATAGCGATCCGCCGTAAGGATGCTTGAGAGAGGACTCCGATATCGAATGTACGAGGTACTCCCGCAAAAGGTCGGCGGCATTCACTAACGCGACGAAAAGAAAATGATCCGGCTCGAAGGACCAATGCTCGGGGGACGGTGGAGCGTTCCCCGGATTTGCGATTAAACTCGAAGGACCAGCGGGGGTGTTTCGGTCCCCGCGCAGCGATTATACGAAAAAATACGAGCAGCGAATAATATGATAACAAAAGCGACTCACCGTTTCGTTGCCCGGCCCTCTCGTCGGTGTACTCGAGTCGTCCGTCTCCCTAAGCAGGCAAACTCTCCGTGATAGCGGGAAATGTCCGGCAGGCAAGGGTAGACGCAGGCAGCAAAGAAGAGGCACACAGAAGAGGCAGGCAAGCAAAATGCACATGCAATGGCAAGCAGGGCGCGGCACGGCGCGCGGCGCTCGGTAAATCGGTTCCAGCAGCGAGTCGATCACTTCCAGAGTGTGTTAACACGACAACTTCCGGAGCGAGAGTGTAGGCTCGCGTCGCGCTCCTGTTGAGAACCGGCGCGAGCGAGTATTTGCTCCAATAATTGGGGATGCCACCCGCGGGCGGGCAGCACAAGTCGGGTGAGTCGCGCGAATATTGACTTAGAATATAGATCGCGATCCGCCAACGTTTTGCGCGAGTCCCAACGGGGTCTACTTATCGACGGCTCGACTTTACCGTCGAATCACGAATACAACAAATTACCGTAACGCGAATGATCGCTAACACTATTGCGGACGAACTAATACTTAACACTAATATGTACAGCTATGTACAGGGGGCAAGCGCCAAACATACCCGCCCACCAAAATACGCGGTATTTTATTTAAACCAAGGCAATCGCCGGCGAAGCCGGGCCCATTGGCAAGGGGCACAACTTCACCAAGGGACGCACCAGAGAGCCATCCGCCACCCGCACCGTGGCGACCCGCGCAACGCCATCGCTACCTGGATGTAGCGCCTCCACACGTCTGTGCCTCCAACGTAGGGGCGACAAGTTGGCGTCCTTGATGAGGACCAGCGAGCCAACAATCTGATTAACCGAGGTCCACCACTTGGGGCGCTGTTGTAGAGTAGTGAGATACTCCTGGTGCCAACGTTTCCAAAAGTCTTGGTGGATTCGTTGAACGAGCTGCCATCGATTCAAGCGATTAATCGGCAACGAGGTCACGTCGTGCGTGGGAACGGATACCAGGGGCTCCATTGTGAGGAAATGTCCCGGGGATAGGACTTCGAGATCCGAAGGGTCGGTGCTCACAGGGCAGAGGGGTCGGGAATTCAATACAGCCTCGATTTGGGCGAAGACGGTAGTAAACTTCTCGATCGTCAGGACTTGGTCTCCCACCACCCTTCGCAGGTGAGTCTTGAAGGATTTAACGCCCGACTCCCAAAGGTCCTCGAAGTGGGGCGCGGAGGGGGGATTAAATGTTCACTTTATTTTCTCTCGCTTCGCCGCAAGGCCCATGTGAGTTTCAAGTTCGCGCGCAGCCCTTATGAAATTGGTGCCGCAGTCACTAAAAAGGAGTGAGCAGCGTCCGCGTCGGGCCACGAATCGTTGCAGCGCAGCGAGAAATGAGTCTGTGGACAACAAAAGTACCACCTCGAGATGCAAGGCTTTGATTGCGAAACAAATAGACAGACGGTAGTAAACTTCTCGATCGTCAGGACTTGGTCTCCCACCACCCTTCGCAGGTGAGTTTTGAAGGATTTAACGCCCGACTCCCAGAGGTCCTCGAAGTGGGGCGCGGAGGGGGGATTAAATGTTCACTTTATTTTCTCTCGCTTCGCCGCAAGACCCATGTGAGTTTCAAGTTCGCGCGCAGCCCTTATGAAATTGGTGCCGCAGTCACTAAAAAGGAGTGAGCAGCGTCCGCGTCGGGCCACGAATCGTTGCAGCGCAGCGAGAAATGAGTCTGTGGACAACAAAAGTACCACCTCGAGATGCAAGGCTTTGATTGCGAAACAAATAGACAGACGTATGCCTTAAAGGAGGAGACGCCACGAGCTCGGCGAGTGACCAACGAGAATGGTCCAGCAAAGTCGATGCCAGTAATGGAGAAGGGCTTGGCCTGACTGACTCGTTCGGTTGGAAGGGCCGCCATAAAGGGTTGAGTAGCATGCGCATTGGCTCGAAAGCACTTATAGCAGCGCGAGAGTACGCGGCGGATGGCGCGCTGTACCTCAAGAACCCAAAATTTCTGAGCCAATAAATACTGCATCGCGCGTCGACCCGGATGTAGGTGAGCGCGGTGCACCTGGTCGATCACGAGCTCCGTGAGCCTATGTTTATTGGGTAATAGTGCGGGGTGTTTGTTCTCGAATGCCAGTGCGGATTGCGCGAGCCTACCGCCCACCCTGAGGACGCCCGAGGGATCGAGGAAGGGAGCGAGTTTTAGAAGCGGCTTAGGGATCCTTTTCCCGATCCGAAGTAGGTCTATTTCCGCTCGAAGTGCATCCGCTTGCACGACTTTCACTATGACTAGCAGGGCGGAATGCAACTCGAGTTGATCAATGGCCAAAGTCTCGTGAGTGGACTTGGCGTGGAATCTATTACAAACCTAAGACTATACGCGATTATTCTGCAAATTTTATCCAACGACGAAATTTTATCTAACAACGAAAGTACCGCGTTGGGCGCGTTGAGCGCGACAAGAGAGGTGACCCGTTCTTCCTCGATAGGAAGGACGTCTGGCCGAGGGGAGGGTTCAACCCGAGGTTCGAAGTGTACGAGCCACTCGGGGTCCGCGGTGCGTACTGCGTACAGTGCGTACTACGTACTTCTTAATTTCTTAATTTCTTATGCTTTTTAGTTGGCTTAGTTCATAGACTTCGTAGGTAGGTTACCTATCGTACGTTCGTACTTTCGTAGTGTTCGTACTTTGTAGTGTAAAATACTAAAGTGCACGTTACGTTCCTAACTTCTAATCTAACTAATGACGCAGAGTTTCAAGCGTGAGATTTGTATTTGTACGTTTCTCAGTACGTTAAACTACTGCCGCCAGTGCAATAATAGGAAAACAAACCTATTGTTTAATCACATCGCTCATCAGTCACGTGATCAAATCTGTAAGTATGAAAATAAGTAATTGTATATTTCTTTCATCTAGTGCGTTAAGCGTTTTCTAGCAAGCGACACAAGTCGTCACATTCGTCACAAACGTCGTTCTATCTTTCTTAGCAATTTTAGCATTCAATGATTAACAAAGATAGAACGATACTTATAATGTCGACTTGTGTCGCTTGCTGGAAAACGCAGTAAACACACCCAGATTTCATTATTTCTTACTAATCTGTCCTATAGTTGAATGTGTAATTTTCTTATTTGTAATGTTTACAGAATTAACCTTATAAAAACCCTAAGGTCGAAGGTGAAGGTGCACGTCTA